CGCCTGGAGCTGTAGCTCAACTCTCCTTAATAGGCTAAAAGGGCGCAGCCAGGCACCTGGAGCTGTAGCTCAACTCTCCTTAATAGGCTAAAAGGCCGCAGCCAAGCGCCTGTCAATCACTGCCACAGCTGGAGATCAGCTGCACTGGAGACGTGACAGTGTTGCAGGACGGGATGCTGCTGCAACGTGACAGTGTTGCAGGACGGGATGCTGCTGCAACGTGACAGTGTTGCAGGACGGGATGCTGCTGCAACGGGAGTGTTGCAGGACGAGATGCTGTTGCAACGTGACAGTGTTGCAAGACGGGATGCTGCTGCAACGTGACAGTGTTGCAGGACGAGATGCTGCTGCAACATGACAGTGTTGCAGGACGGGATGCTGCTGCAACGTGACAGTGTTGCAGGACGGGATGCTGCTGCAACGTGACAGTGTTGCAGGACGGGATGCTGCTGCAACGTGACAGTGTTGCAGGACGAGATGCTGCTGCAACGTGACAGTGTTGCAGGACGAGATGCTGCTGCAACGTGACAGTGTTGCAGGACGAGATGCTGCTGCAACATGACAGTGTTGCAGGACGGGATGCTGCTGCAACGTGACAGTGTTGCAGGACGAGATGCTGCTGCAACGTGACAGTGTTGCAGGACGGGATGCTGCTGCAACGTGACAGTGTTACAGAACGGGATGCTGCTGCAACGTGACAGTGTTGCAGGACGGGATGCTGCTGCAACGTGACAATGTTGCAGGACGAGATGCTGCTGCAACGTGACAGTGTTGCAGGACGGGATGCTGCTGCAACATGACACTGTTGCAGGACGGGATGCTGCTGCAACGTGGCGGTGTTGCAGGACGGGATGCTGCTGCAACGTGACAGTGTTGCAGGACGGGATGCTGCTGCAACGTGACAGTGTTGCAGGACGGGATGCTGCTGCAACGTGACAGTTTTGCAGGACGGGATGCTGCTGCAACGTGACAGTGTTGCAGGACGGGATGCTGCTGCAACGTGACAGTGTTGCAGGACGGGATGCTGCTGCAACGTGACAGTGTTGCTGGACGAGATGCTGCTGCAACGTGACAGTTTTGCAGGACGGGATGCTGCTGCAACGTGACAGTGTTGCAGGACGGGATGCTGCTGCAACGTGACAGTGTTGCAGGACGGGATGCTGCTGCAACGTGACAGTGTTGCAGGACGAGATGATGCTGCAACGTGACAGTGTTGCAGGACGGGATGCTGCTGCAAAGTGACAGTGTTGCAGGACGGGATGCTGCTGCAACGTGACAGTGTTGCAGGACGAGATGCTGCTTCAACGTGACAGTGTTGCAGGACGGGATGCTGCTGCAACGTGACAGTGTTGCAGGACGACGGGATGCTGCTGCAACGTGACAGTGTTGCAGGACGGGATGCTGCTGCAACGTGACAGTGTTGCAGGACGGGATGCTGCTGCAACGCGACAGTGTTGCAAGACTTGATGCTGCTGCAAAGTGACAGTGTTGCAGGACCGGATGTTGCTGCAACGTGACAGTGTTGCAGGACGGGATGCTGCTGCAACGTGGCAATGTTGCAGGACGGAGGCTGCTGCAACGTGACAGTGTTGCAGGACGGGATGCTGCTGCAACGTGACAGTGTTGCAGGACGGGATGCTGCTGCAACGTGACAGTGTTGCAGGACGGGATGCTGCTGCAACGTGACGGTGTTGCAGGACGGGATGCTGCTGCAACGTGACAGTGTTGCAGGACGGGATGCTGCTACAACGTGACAGTGTTGCAGGACGGGATACTGCTGCAACGTGACAGTGTTGCATGACGGGATGTTGCTGCAACGTGACAGTGTTGCAGGACGAGATGCTTCTGCAACGTGACAGTGTTGCAGGACGGGATGCTGCTGCAACGTGACAGTGTTGCAGGACGGGATGCTGCTGCAAAGTGACAGTGTTGCAGGACGGGATGCTGCTGCAACGTGACAGTGTTGCAGGACGGGATGCTGCTGCAACGTGACGGTGTTGCAGGACGAGATGTTGCTGCAACGTGACAGTGTTGCAAGACGGGATGCTGCTGCGACGTGAGTGTTGCAGGACGAGATGCTGCTGCAACGTGGCAGTGTTGCAAGACGGGATGCTGCTGCAACGTGACAGTGTTGCAGGACGGGATGCTGCTGCAACATGACAGTGTTGCAGGACGGGATGCTGCTGCAACGTGACAGTGTTGCAGGACGGGATGCTGCTGGAACGTGACAGTGTTGCAGGACGAGATGTTCTCCCAACGTGACAGTGTTGCAGGACGGGATGCTGCTGCAACGTGACAGTGTTGCAGGACGGGATGCTGCTGCAACGTGACAGTGTTGCAGGACGGGATGCTGCTGCAACGTGACAGTGTTGCAGGACGGGATGCTGCTGCAACATGGACACCTCCCAAATTTGAGCAATACAAGAAGTAATGGTGTTCTGGAGTGATAGTCTCGGAAGATTATCTTGGTTATTATTAGTATTATTCTTGTTGTTGTTGTTGATGTTGATGTTATGGTTATTGTTGTTATTATTATTATTATTATTATTATTATTATTATCATTATTATTATTATTATTATTATTATTATTATTATTATTATTATTATTATTATTATTATTATTATTATTATTATTATTTTTATTATTATTATTATTATTATTATTATTTATATTATTATTATATTATTATTATTATTATTATTATTATTATTATTATTATTATTGATATTATTATTATTATTATTATTTTTATTTTATTATTATTATTATTATTATTATTATTATTATTATTATTATTATTAAACTTACTCTTGAACTAAACTTGCTCTCTTAACTGCGGTTTAAAAAAAAAACAAGTAAATTCTTAATATGCTAAATGAAATGAAAAAAAAACTTGATATTTGAGTTGAAAGAAATTTTTTCAATTTCCTGGGAATTTGGATATTGAATGAGAGATTAATTCCCTAACCGTTGTCTCACAAACGGCAAAATGGGCCCATAAACAGGTAGTGAGCTTCTGTTTTCTCTTTTAACAGGTCATTCTGGCAGGCCAGCCGATGCTCAGTCACCATCGGGTCATCATTTGACAACAACTGTCAGTGGGACTCTGTGCCAAGTTTCCTGACGGATAAAACCCCATGAACCTGCTGTCAATACTGATCTGAAGTTTGAACAGTATGTCACTTTAATAGGACAATATAACATAAATTATTCATTTGCAGTTTATTCCCTTTGCTTAGCCTTACACTCGGATTTATTATACATTATAATACACAGGTGTTGTAAATATGTAGGGGGTTCGAATGAAAAAAAATAGGTACCAGGTACCAATGGGGGAGAGGTACGGGGATGTTCTCAAGAGGAAATCTGTTGTCTTCAGTAGTCGTAACCGTAGCCGTAGGCAGGCTTGGGACACACGGTCTTGTAGGTGTGCTGGGTCTTGACGACAGTGTGGTACTCAGGGACCACCTTGGTCTGGTACTGGGTCTGGTACAGCACCTGAGTCTTGGTCACGTACTGGGGTTTGTACTCAGTCTTGTACACTGTCTGGTACTGGACCTGGGTAACGTACTGGGTTTGGTATTGGGTTTTGGTAATGTATTCAGGAATGTACTCGGCCTTGGTGACGTAATGGGTCTGGTACTGGGTCTTGTATACGGTCTGGTACTGAGTTACGTACTGGACTTGGGTCTTGTAGACGGTCTGGGTCACATACTGAGGGACGTACTGGGTCTGGTAGTCAGTCTGGTACTCAGTCTGGTACTGTGTGTGGTAGAGAGTGGTAGGGATGATCTGCTGTTTGTACACCGTCTTGTACACTGGTACCTGTAGAGAGAAAAATAAATATTTTGAGACTTATTAATTTTAAGTGAAAATTAAATGAATATCATCTCTTTCTAGGCGAGACAAAACTTTTTTTGGTAAAGATGTTTCACTTACTCATTGAAACACTGATATTGGCATGCTGGATCCACCCTTCCCTTCGTAGGTTCCCCAGGAATATATGCTGGTACTGAACCTTGAATGAGGTTCATAATCTGCTTCAGTATAGCTCATTTAAACCTACCCTATAGCTGACTTTTTGAGCTCTATCTACGAACGATCCGTCTCAATTATGTTCTGATGTTTATGCTGTGTTTCTGAACCTCTCTGAGTGTTGACCTGATGATCATGATCTAGAATTAACTCTTAAATGTTCTCTAATGCAGTACCTGCCCTAGTTCTGACCTGCTCCTGTTTTAACCAGAACCTGCACCGACACTGACCTGCTGAACTTCAGTTTGGTACTGGGTGACATAATGAGTCTTGGGGTAGCAAGGTTCAGGATAGACAGGGTCAGCCACCACTGCCGCCACCACAGCCAACACCACCACTACAAACAAATTTGAAGACACCATCTGCAACATAAGACACTACTCGTTATACATCTCTTAAAATCCTCGGGTTAATGTGCCATAAACACTGGTCGATGAAAAGTGAGAAGTCACTGAGTGGAAAGCGAAACGCATGTAAAAGAGGGTCCCTGGCTGAAGGGGTCTCAGTCACAGACCCTCGTCACTGGTCAGTGACCCTTTTTTCAAAAGTCAAAGGGTCTTTGATTGAGGCAGAAAGTTACAAATGTCTTTTACATGCTTTTCATTTTTTTCTAATCCAAGTTATTACACAATTTTCACTTCTTAATGTATTTGCAGCATTGACATAGAATTAAACGTTATTTTTTTTTTAAACTAATCACACATCAATTATTTTAGACAATCGAGAAAGCGTGAAAGCCTATTTCTGAAAGAGCAAGTGTAATAAATAATGAAGATTAATGATGCTTTAAGTACATATGATTCATGGCTTTATCACGTCCCATTTAACACGTTTATCCCTTTTTCACTCGAACCATTAACAGGAGTTTTTCTTCAAAAAGATATCTGTTAATTTCATACATCTAATGACTGTTGTTACTCTTTCTTAATTTCCAATAAGTATATACAGTTACGTTGTTTTTCGCCCTATTATTGAGGTTTATCCTGATTTTAAAGTTTGTTCATTACGTATTCAGATTAAAAAATGTTTTAAGTGAAAGAAGAGCTCGAGTGTTCACCTCGAGAGCTGCTGTTTCCTGGAGGGCGGAGAGCAAGAGACTGACGACTTCAGATTCTGCGAGTGAGGTATTTATAGTGCCGGGAGGGCGGGGCTCTTTCGCGCGTCCAAAGGACGAACGCGCATTGGAGGAGAAGGACTAGGGGGAGAAGGGGCGGTCATGCGCTTAATGAAGGTCGCGCGTTACGTGAATTCGCACTGCGTGAGGTCGTGTTCTTCTCGGTACCTACTTCAGTTTCAATCTTGACGCCGATTACGCTCGCAGGATCAGGTGGTAGGGTGTGGTGGGAGGGGTGTGGGGAAGGGGTGTAGTTTGAAGGGTGTGGGGAAGGGGAGGATGATGGTGTACCGTTATATCAAGGGGAAAATACTCGAGAATAACGTTGGAGGAACTTAGTTTATTCCCAAGTACTTTTAGGTAAGTAATTTGCGATAAGGATTTTTATACCACTGTTCTGAACAACAGTAAGTGGAAAGAAGTGGAAGAAGGAGCGGTATAAAGAAGAATTAAGAAAAACAAAAGAAAACCATCGAGGAAAAACAAGATGGAAAAAAGAAAGATGAGTAAGAAGTATAATAAGAGAAATGTAAGAAAAATAAAAAATAAAATCATTGTAAAAACGATAAGACAATGAAGACGACAAAATAGTAACGACAGCAACACAAGTCATCATAATTCTCACCATTGTTGTTGAACTAACAAAGACAATGTAACAATGTTAACACTAACTTAATGGAAACATTCCAAAAACAATTTATAATTGTGTTAGTGGTTTTAGTTGATAGTATGTAATAAACTCTCTCTCTTTCTCACACACTCAAACATATATACGCACATACATTATATTATATTATATATATATATATATATATATATATATATATATATATATATATAATATATATATATATATATATATATGTCGTGCCGAATATGTAAAACTGGTCAATTAGCAAGAACTCATTTAAAATTAAGTCCTTTCTAAAATTTTCTCTTATACGTTTAAAGATATATTTTTTTCATTAATGTTGATGTAAAAATTTATAATTTTGCACCAAAAGGAACTTAGAAAACTTACCTAACCTTATTATAACAAGCACAATTTATTTTAGCCTAACACAACTAAATATATTTTAGATTTGTTTACAATAATTTAATACTAAACAAGAAGAGTGAAATATATTTTTTTTCGTTAGGCTGAGAATGATTTCGGCGAAATTATTGCATATACAAATTTTCACTTGTCTTATATGGCAAGATGAGCGTTGCTATTTAAGCCAAGATCGCAAGTTCTGCCTATTCGGCACGACATATATATATAAGCGTGTTATTTAGCATAACTACAACTATGCAAAGCTTTGACTCATATTTTTTTATAGATATGAGTGAAGAATTCTGACAGTACCTGTAATAAAGACAGTTTATCATGAAGCACATACTGACTGCCTGTCACAACTGTTATCTCTCATGAAACGTTATAATCCTAAGCTATATTGCCGTTGTTCATTGATCTACAACAAATGTCAAAGTAAATGACTGCAATGAGCTCCTGTTCTTTCTTATATTCCAGTAGTTTAGTTATCCCCAACAGCCTGGTTGGTCCGAGAAATTGCAATGGTTAACAGAGGAAGGAACGTTCATTGTGTCATGGAATACGTCACGTTCACTCCAGTCGTTCGTTCGTTGTGTCATGGTATACTTCACGTTCACTCCAGTCGTTCGTATTTCACACTCTTGCAGTGACGACAGTTAAACATCACTGTCAGATTACCTCCCTTGTGTATTTCATCAGTCCATTACAGACGAATATAACACTGGAGATAGTAGAAGACGTAGTTTTAAGGGGATCAGACCATCAGGTACACATTCATCTTAAGATACAGAAACACTTATGATATTATCAAGTCCTTTATTGACGTTCTTAAATCCCTTGCTCTGACCTTTATTAATTCACGGGTCAATAAAAGATACCACAGTACTGCATTGCTGTATTAAAGTATTTCATATCATTGCTATCCACTTTCAGATTACATTTTGTACGTCAGTTTCAGGCGTCGTTTTAAGTTGTGAAAACAGAGCTGAAGGCTGTGTTGTGCACGGAAGTTATTTCTTTACGTGCTGCTAGTCATTCCACCCTCGCTGGCTATTAGAGATCGTGTCATATATTTCACCATTTCCTTGTTCCTTATATACTTATAGAATACCTTAGGGTTTGAAAGAGAGAGAGAGAGAGAGAGAGAGAGAGAGAGAGAGAGAGAGAGAGAGAGGGAGAGAGAGAGAGAGAGAGAGAGAGAGAGAGAGAGAGAGAGAGAGAGAGAGAGAGAGAGAGAGAGAGAGAGAGAGAGAGAAGGCCTGTTTCAGGCTAATCTGCAGTAAACAGTATGCAAATCGATTCATTTACGTGATGAATAAGACATTTTGATGATACCCAAGTGTTGTACATGTGTCATTCATCAGTCCTAGTCGTGACTCGTTCTGGCACAGCTGTCAGTTCTTCAGAGCTTTCAGCGCCGGAAAGATGGCCGTGGCTTCAGCGTTATGTTACAAGGCCAATATTATCAAGGTCCTCTTTTCTCCTCCTCCTCCTCCTCCTCCCTCCAGTGTTATCAAGGTCCTTCTCCATCAACATAACTCAGCTATGACCATCATCAATTTCACTTTCTGTAGCTTGCTCAAGGACCTCACCAGAGGTCGTTGATTCCTAGTTTCCGTCTCGCTGTTAGAACACTGAGGATCGAGCCTCCACACTGACATGATGCTTCACATAAACATGACAATATAATTCCGGCTCACTTTTGGATCACAACCTCAGGAAAAAATATCACATTTTTGAGAAATTAAACTAAGAAAATGAATTCAAGAAATATACTAGTGAAAAATATACTAATGAAAAATATACTAGTGAAAAATGCTTGAAAATCCGAGCAAATATTATAAATTTATTTGTAAGAGATATAAATTTGACAGATTTGTAAATGTAGTATAGGAAATGTACTCATGTTAGGACTCTAAAAGTACTTTTCATAGATGATTGTGCATCCTTATCCTCTCGCTCTGCCATCCACAGGATGAATATGGAATGCACAATGGACTAGCCACTAGTACCTATAGGATGGGTATGAGAGATGCTCATTGTACTAGCCAGTACCGTCCATAGGATGGATGAGAGATGTTCATTGCACTAGGAAGTACTGTCGATAGGATGGATAAAAGAGATAATCATTGCATTATCCATTGCACACTGCACTATGGACTAGTCACTACTATCCATAGGATGGATGAGAGATGTTCATTGCACTAGTAACTACCGTCCACAGGATGGATGTACTGAGTACCGTGAAATCGACTGGTATTAAAAAAAATAGGCAATAATTTTAGGACATATTCAATGGGGACAATTTCTGTCCTGAGACCTTCGTTACTCCAAATAAATATAAGGGTAAAAGAATTCAACTTAAATGGGCGTTTAGGACTCTGAGAAGATGCGAGGTCTGGCAGGGTCTGGCAGGGTCTGGCAGGGTCTGGCAGGGTCTGGCAGGGTCTGGCAGGGTCTGGCAGGGTCTGGCAGGGTCTGGCAGGGTCTGGCAGGGTCTGGCAGGGTCTGGCAGGGTCTTGCAGGATGCCGCCTGACTCTTGTGTCTGGTGGGGTCAAGGTGATGCTCTTTTGATAATCTTGTGTACCAGCGTCTCAGCAATACTATATTTCCTGTTTTTGTGTGCGTTTGATTGTTACAGCAATAAGAGAGGTGTCCAAACAACGACGTCTGTAGAGACAGTTTTTTGTGAAGATCATTTACGCTTTTGGTACAGTCCTTCAGTTGTGCCTGCGGATTACTCATTTGTTTCTGCATTCCAAACCAACTCCGTCTGTAGGGATTAGACTCTGTTAAAATTATTCGTCCCTCTGCGTCCTTATGGGCCACTCGTTCTTTACTGAGATCGTCCCTGTAGCATAGATAGTTCTATTCATTAAGTCTAGCTGACAAATTCCTTCCTGTCTCTCCTACGTAATTATTTTCACGGTGGCTACACGGGATTGTGAAGACACCGACAATAGATGTAGGTTGTTGTGTGGTGAATCGCAAAGTATTAAGTCATCTGATGAATATAGACAACACTACCGTCCACAGGATAGTTGGAAGATGCTCACACAGAACTGACTGTTACAGTCAACAGGATATATATGATGATCACAATAAACTAGCTACACTCGTCCACAGAATGGATGTGAGGAACACATTAGAAGTGTTACGCCATTTGCATAACTGAAACACTAAATGATTCTCAGATATTTCCACTTCCGCCACGTGCCATTTACCACGTGCCACTCACCACGTGTCACTCACCACGTGCCACTCACCACGTACTGTTCGGACTATTACCTAACATTAAATTATTTTTATAGGGAATTTGGGAAACATGACTTCAAAAATATATTAAGTGAATGGTCATCCACGAACCCATTAAAAACTACCAGTATGTGTGGGAAACTTAGAGAGAGAGAGAGAGAGAGAGAGAGTGAAAGAACTGTTACAGTAGTGATATTAGTAACATTATCATTATCATCACCATCATAATAATAATAATTATAATAATAATAATAATAATAATAATAATAATAATAATAATAATAATAATAATAATAATAATAATAATAATAATAATAATAATCAGTCTGAATTATTATCCCATTTACTTTTGTAAACATTTATCTTCACATCGCCTTTACATGATTAATTACAGTATCAACAATCCTTATTAAGAGAATTTCCAAATCAAACACAGGGATACAATGCGATTCTTTATTCTATATTACACTTTGAATCCTTTGGCCGTAGCACCAGAACATAACATGGAAGCTGGAATCCTGAACACAGGATCGAATCCCACATGACTTCTCGATTTCCTATTTTTAAATATCAGTTTTAAATCCATTTGGTGGCTAAAAACTGAGAGATAAATTCTAGAGATATCGAGTTATTTTTTTTCTTATATACAATCGTAAACTGTGAGAGTTTAAATAGGGTCGATTGTTGGGTCCGCTTTTGTTTTTAGTAGTAGGGTGTAGGGCAGGCCGTGACGTAGCCGACCTTCTCCACGGGTACTGTCACGTACTCTGGTACAACTTTGGTCTGGTACGCCGTCTGGTATTTGACTAGGGTCTGGGTCACGTACTGGGGCGTGTAATGGGTGGTATACACGGTCTGGTACTTAACCTGGGTCTGGTAGTGGGTCTTGTAGAGCGTGAGAGGCACGTACGTAGGCACATACTCGGCTCTAGTTACGTACTGTGTGTGGTACTGGGTCTGGTACTTGGTCTCGTAGTGAGGCACGTACTGCACTTGGGTCTTGTAGGCCGTTTCGGTGACGTACTTGGGCACGAACTGGGTCTGGTACTTAGTCTGGTAGTGGGTTTGGTAGTGGGTCTTGTAGAGGGTGGTAGGTACAACTTGCTTCTGCACTACTGTCTTGTATACTGGTACCTGTGGTGATTATAATGTTAATAATAATAATAATAATAATAATAATAATAATAATAATAATAATAATAATAATAATAATAATAATAATAATAATAATAATAATAATAATAATATTATTATTATTATTATTATTATTATTATTATTATTATTATTATTATTATTATTATTATTATTATTATTATTATTATTATTATTACTATTATTATTATTATTGTTATTATTATTAATTGCACCTATAGTGAAAGGATTTATCAATATTGCAAGCAATTTCACGTACCAATAACTTCAATGACGCTGCTTAAGTAAGCTAACAATTTCTAAGTATATATTAAGTGTTACAGAATTCCCACAATGAATAAATTAAAAAAAAATCGGAAATCTGAAGGATTTTTGAAAAAAAAAAATCTTTCCAAATTTGAAGGGTTATTAGTAAAAAAAACGAGAATTTCTGAAAAACATTGAAAAATGGTTTGAAAATTTATGGTATTTTTTGCCTCTGACATCTGATCTGTATAGAATTAATTGGTATTTTATGTATTGATAAACTGATAAATTGAGTGAATGATAATGAAAGTGATTCTTCTTTTTCGGGTCACCCTGCCTGAAGTTACCAAAGTTCTGATAAGTTCAATCTGCTTCAGTAATGACCAGCTGAACTTCCCTGAACTTTGAACTTCTTCAGTTCTAGAGTATTGAACCCGTGTCTGTACGTACCTCTTGTAGAGCTTCCTTAACAGCAGTGACGTAGGCTGTTTTAGGGTAGCAAGGAGCTGGGGCATGGTACACGGGGTACTCCGGGGCAGCCACGGGGTATACAGGGTCAACGATGGGGTATACGGGAGGAGCCTCGGGGTATATGGGGTCAGCCTTTGCCTCAGCCACGGGGTCAGCCTCGGGGTCAGCTACAGGGTTAGCCACGGGGTCAGCCACGGGATCAGCTTCAGGATCAGCCACTGGGTCAGCCACGGGGTCAGCCACGGGGTCAGCCACGGGGTCAGCCACTGCATTCGCAACGCCAGCCAACGCCACCATAATCACCACCAGCATTGTTGTGTACGCAGACATGGCCTATGATTGGATATGGTTGTAAATGTACCACATTACACTCAATTTACGTCTGGCCTGGTTCCTAGTTCCTATTTTCTCGTTTCTAGTTCCTATATTCTAGTTCCTCGTTCCTATTTTCTAGTTCCTAGTTCCTATTTTCTAGTTCCTAGCTCCTATTTTCTAGTTCCTAGTTCCTAGGCCTTTTGTGTACCCCTATATTCTGCCTCTACCATCCACAGGATGGATATGAAGTGCACAATAAACTAACCACTACCATCCACAGGATAGATAGGAAGTACACAGTAAACTAGCCACTACCATCCACAGGATAGATATGAAGTACACAATAAACTAGCCACTACCATCCACAGGATGGATATGAGGCGTACAATACACTATCTATGCGAAATTAATTTTGTTGACAGTTGCATTTGACAGATATTGTCAGGAATAATCTCAAACGAGACATGGCGTAAGGTGAGACTGATTTATACTCTAAATAATAAAATCGCACTGTATCGCGAAGATAATTGTGAATTCACTGTAAAGGGTGGTGAAAAATATTGTTTTTTTTCTTTTTAACGTTTTAAAGATTTAGATAACTTGAATTATCATTTATTAGAAGATAATAAATAAATAAGAGGGGCATTGAAATGACCGCCTTTACCCATGCTAGGCAGATGCTTATCGCAACCAATCTCATTCATGAGAATTTAAGAACAGAAGAGTACTGCAATAGGCCAGTTAGCCCATGTTAGGTAGGCACTCACACCCAACCAGTCCCACTCGTGTCGAAGGATGTAAATGTAAGAATATTCGCAATGTTTACCTTGATCTGTGTTGGTGTTCTGGCGAGGGTGAGCAAGAGACTGACGCCTTGGAGAAGGAGTCGGGGCATTATATACTTAGCGTCTCCTTGCAACTGCTGCTGCTGTTGCTGCTGTTACTGCTGTCGCTGGTAGGGAGGAGGGGGACAAGGCAGCTCTACCCAGGAAGGTCACAGGGCGTGTCTCCATCAGAACTTCCCTCTGTAATTTCCAGCACCATCATCAGGTCCCTTTACCGGTGGGTGTGTCGAAGACACAGAACCTCGCTTGACGCCGCACCGCTAGCTCAAGGACGCCCGAGTGTTATTATGCGCGATCTTAAGGCGCACGATACTTCGACAAGTGTGTTCGCGGGGAGACGGCATTCAGCATCCTTGTATCATGGTGATTATCACGGCATTCCTGCGGGTGTAGAATGACGGGAGATTGAAGGATCGCTCACGCTATTACTGCTACACTGCTGGGTGGGGCTAATCTCCTGTCTTAACTGCTCCTTATTCTCTCTCCTCTTCCCTATTCTCCTTTCGTCTCCTCTCCTCGCCCCTCTCTCTCACCCTTCTCGCTCACCCCTCTCTCTCACCTCTCTCTCTCAGCCCTCTCTCTCGCCCTTCTCTCTCACCTCTCTCTCTCAGCCCTCTCTCTCGCCCTTCTCTCTCACCTCTCTCTCTCACCCCTCTCTCTCACCCTTCTCTCTCACCCCTCTCTCTCATCCCTTTCTCTCACCTATTTTCGTCGGGACTTGACGATGGTCCCAAAAGTTTTTGAACGAATCGAAACGTCCTTATAATGGTCCGGGAGTGAGCGAAACGTCTTCTAAATATTACTCTCTAGTTTGTGATTTAATTATTTATTATTCTAGTCGTGGCGTTGTAAGTTTCTAAGACGTTTCGCCCACCATTGGGGAGGATGGCAGTGTCCTTATCATGGTAGTATTGGGAAGGATGGTAGTGCCTTTATCATGGTAGTATTGGGGAGGATGGTAGTGTCTTTATCATGGTAGTATTGGGAAGGATGGTAGTGTTTTTATCATGGTATTATTGGGAGGATTGTAGTGTACTTATCATGGTAGTGGATGGTAGTGTCCTTATCATGGTAGTATTGGGGAGGATGGTAGTGTCTTTATCATGATAGTATTGGGGAGGATGGTTGTGTCTTTATCATGATATTATTGGGGAGGATGGTAGTGTACTTATCATGGTAGTGGATGGTAGTGTCCTTATCATGGTAGTATTGAGGAGGATGGTAGTGTCCTTATCATGGTAATGTTGGGGAGGATGGTAGTGTCCTTATCATGGTAGTATTGTGAAGGATGGTAGTGTCCTTATCATGGTAGTATTGGGGAGGATGGTAGTGTCCTCATCATGGTAGTATTGGGGAGGATGGTACTGCCTTTATCATGGTAGTATTGGGGAGGATGGTAGTGCCTTTATAATGGTAGTATTGGGGAGGATGGTAGTGCCTTTATCATGGTAGTATTGGGGAGGATGGTAGTGCCTTTATCATGGTAGTATTGGAGAGGATGGTAGTGCATTTATCATGGTAATATTGGGGAGGATGGTAGTGTCTTTATCATGGTAGTATTGGGGAGGATGGTAGTGCCTTTATCATGGTAGTATTGGGAGGATGGTAGTGCCTTTATCATGGTAGTATTGGGGAGGATGGTAGTGCCTTTATCATGGTAGTATTGGGGAGGATGGTAGTGCCTTTATCATGGTAGTATTGGGGAGGACGGTAGTGCATTTATCATGGTAATATTATGGAGGATGGTAGTGTCTTTATCATGGTAGTATTGGGGAGGATGGTAGTGTCTTCATCATGGTAATATTGGGGAGGATGGTAGTGTCCTTATCATGGTAGTATTGGGGAGGATAGTAGTGTACTTATCATGGTATATTGGGGAGGATGGTAGTGTCTTCATCATGGTAATATTGGGGAGGATGGTAGTGTCCTTATCATGGTAGTATTGGGGAGGATAGTAGTGTACTTATCATGGTAATATTGGGGAGGATGGTAGTGTCTTCATCATGGTAATATTGGGGAGGATGGTAATGTCCTTATCATGGTAGTATTGGGGAGGATAGTAGTGTACTTATCATGGTAATATTGGGGAGGATGGTAGTGTCTTTATCATGGTAGTATTGGGAAGGATGGTAGTGTCTTCATCATGGTAGTATTGGGGAGGATGGTAGTGTACTTATCATGGTAATATTGAGGAGGATGGTAGTGTCTTTATCATGGTAGTATTGGGAAGGATGGTAGTGTCTTTATCATGGTAGTATTGAGGAGGATGGTAGTGCATTTATCATGGTAATATTGGGAAGGACGGTAGTGTCTTTATCATGGTAGTATTGGGGAGGATGGTAGTGCATTTATCATGGTAATATTGGGGAGGATGGTAGTGTCTTGATCATGGTAGTATTGGGGAGGATGGTAGTGTCTTTATCATGGTAGTATTGGGGAGGATGGTAGTGTACTTATCATGGTAATATTAGGGAGGATGGTAGTGCATTTATCATGGTAATATTGGGAAGGATGGCAGTGTCCTTATCATGGTAATATTAGGGAGGATGGTAGTGTCCTTATCATGGTAATATTAGGGAGGATGGTAGTGTCCTTATAATGGTAGTATTGGAGAGGATGGTAGTGCATTTATCATGGTAATATTGGGGAGGATGGTAGTGTCTTTATCATGGTAGTATTGGGGAGGATGGTAGTGCCTTTATCATGGTAGTATTGGGAGGATGGTAGTGCCTTTATCATGGTAGTATTGGGGAGGATGGTAGTGCCTTTATCATGGTAGTATTGGGGAGGATGGTAGTGCCTTTATCATGGTAGTATTGGGGAGGATGGTAGTGCATTTATCATGGTAATATTATGGAGGATGGTAGTGTCTTTATCATGGTAGTATTGGGGAGGATGGTAGTGTCCTTCATCATGGTAATATTGGGAGGATGGTAGTGTCCTTATCATGGTAGTATTGGGAGGATGTAGTGTACTTATCATGGTAATATTGGGGAGGATGGTAGTGTCTTCATCATGGTAATATTGGGGAGGATGGTAGTGTCCTTATCATGGTAGTATTGGGGAGGATAGTAGTGTACTTATCATGGTAATATTGGGGAGGATGGTAGTGTCTTCATCATGGTAATATTGGGGAGGATGGTAGTGTCCTTATCATGGTAGTATTGGGGAGGATAGTAGTGTACTTATCATGGTAATATTGGGGAGGATGGTAGTGTCTTTATCATGGTAGTATTGGGAAGGATGGTAGTGTCTTTATCATGGTAGTATTGGGGAGGATGGTAGTGCATTTATCATGGTAGTATTGGGAAGGACGGTAGTGTCTTTATCATGGTAGTATTGGGGAGGATAGTAGTGTACTTATCATGGTAATATTGGGGAGGATGGTAGTGTCTTCATCATGGTAATATTGGGGAGGATGGTAGTGTCTTCATCATGGTAGTATTGGGGAGGATGGTAGTGTACTTATCATGGTAATATTGAGGAGGATGGTAGTGCATTTATCATGGTAGTATTGGGAAGGACGGTAGTGTCTTTATCATGGTAGTATTGGGGAGGATGGTAGTGCATTTATCATGGTAATATTGGGGAGGATGGTAGTGTCTTGATCATGGTAGTATTGGGGAGGATGGTAGTGTCTTTATCATGGTAGTATTGGGGAGGATGGTAGTGCATTCATCATGGTAGTATTGGGAAGGATGGTAGTGTCTTTATCATGGTAGTATTGGGGAGGATGGTAGTGTACTTATCATGGTAATATTAGGGAGGATGGTAGTGCATTTATCATGGTAATATTGGGAAGGATGGCAGTGTCCTTATCATGGTAATATTAGGGAGGATGGTAGTGTCCTTATAATGGTAGTATTGGGGAGGATGGTAGTGTCTTTATCATGGTAATATTGGGGAGGATGGTAGTGTCTTTATCATGGTAGTATTGGGGAGGATGGTAGTGTACTTATCATGGTAATATTAGGGAGGATGGTAGTGCATTTATCATGGTAATATTGGGAAGGATGGCAGTGTCCTTATCATGGTAATATTAGGGAGGATGGTAGTGTCCTTATAATGGTAGTATTGGGGAGGATGGTAGTGTCTTTATCATGGTAATATTGGGGAGGATGGTAGTGTCTTTATCATGGTAGTATTGAGGAGGATGGTAGTGCCTTTATCATGGTAGTATTGGGAAGGATGGTAGTGCCTTCATCATGGTAGTATTGGGAAGGATGGTAGTGCCTTTATCATGGTAGTATTGGGGAGGATGGTAGTGCCTTTATCATGGTAGTATTGGGGAGAATGGTAGTGCCTTTATCATGGTAGTATTGGGGAGGATGGTAGTGCCTTTATCATGGTAGTATTGGGGAGGATGGTAGTGCCTTTATCATGGTAGTATTGGGGAGGATGGTAGTGCCTTTATCATGGTAGTATTGGGGAGAATGGTAGTGCCTTTATCATGGTAGTATTGGGGAGGATGGTAGTGCCTTTATCATGGTAGTATTGGGGAGGATGGTAGTGCCTTTATCATGGTAGTATTGGGGAGGATGGTAGTGTCTTTATCATGGTAATATTGGGGAGGATGGTAGTGCCTTTATCATGGTAGTATTGGGGAGGATGGTAGTGCCTTTATCATGGTAGTATTGGGGAGGATGGTAGTGCCTTTATCATGGTAGTATTGGGGAGGATGGTAGTGTCTTTATCATGATAATATTGGGGAGGATGGTAGTGCCTTTATCATGGTAGTATTGGGGAGGATGGTAGTGCCTTTATCATGGTAGTATTGGGGAGGATGGTAGTGCCTTTATCATGGTAGTATTGGGGAGGATGGTAGTGTCTTTATCATGGTAGTATTGGGGAGGATGGTAGTGTCTTTATCATGGTAGTATTGAGGAGGATGGTAGTACACAGTGCTCTAGCATTTTTAATTCACAATAGCAGTCAGAAGTCTGTCTTTCTCTATCTATCCTCTCTATCTATCCTCTCTATCTATCCTCTCTATCTATCCTCTCTATCTGTCCTCTCTATCTATTCTC